TTTAAGGTTTTCATAGTTTTCCTTGTAGAGGTCTGACTTCCTTGGTTAATTTCATTCCTAAGTATTTTATACTTCTTCTGGCTATGGTAAATGGAATTACATTCTTCATTTCTGTCTTGTTGTTCATAAATAGAAATGCTATAGATTTTTGGATATTGATTTTGTATCCTGCCACTTTACTGTATTCATTTATTACTTTGAGAAGTATTCTTGTGAATACTATTGAGTCTTCTATGTATACAATCATGTCATCTGCAAACAGAAAATTTTAGCTCCTCCTTCCCTATTGGAATGACTTTTATTTCCTTCTCTTGTCTGACCGCATTGGCTAGAACTTCCAGTACTATATTGAATAGGAGCAGAGAAAGTGGGCAGCCTTCTCTTGTACCTGTTTATAGTGGAAAAGCTTTTAGCTTTTCCCCATTCAGTATGTTAGAAATTAGCAGAGAAAGTGGGCAGCCTTCTCTTGTACCTGTTTATAGTGGAAAAGCTTTTAGCTTTTCCCCATTCAGTATGTTAGAAATTACTTTTATTATGCTGAGAAATGGTCCTTCTATGCCAATTTTACTGAGAGTCTTGATCATAAAGACATGTTGTATTTTGTCAAGTGCTTTTTCTGCACTGATTGAAATGATCATATATGGTTTTTATCTTTTTTCTGTTAATGTGGTTTATTACATTTATGGTTTTGTGTATATTGATCCACTCTTACATTCCTAGAATAAAGCCTTACCTGGTCATGATGAATAACCTTTTTTATATGCTGTTGAATATGATTAGCAAGTATCTTGTTGAAAATTTTTGCATCTGTAGTCATCAGGGATATAGGTCTGTAGTTTTCTTTTTTGTAGTATTCATGTTCATTTTGTAGTATTCATGTTCATTTGGGAATGGAGGCTTCATAGAATGAATTCGGAAGGGTTTCCTTTAAATCTCAATCAACAGTGTGAGTAGAATGGAGATTCCCTCTTTCTTAAGAAAATTTGTTAAGTTTGGCAGTGAAGCCTTTGGGGCCTGAACTTTTCTTTGTTGGGAGTATATTTATTACTGATTCAATCTCATTGCTTGTTATAGGTCATTCAGGCTTTCTATGTCTTCCTGAGTCAATCTTGGTAGATTATATGTGTCCAGGAATTTGTCCAACTCATCTAGGTTTTCTTCTTTGTCGGCATAGAGTCGCTCACAGTATCCTGTAATGATATTTTGTATTTCTGTTATGTCTGTTGTAATGTTGCCTGATTCATTGCAGATTTGACTTATCTAGTTCCTTTCTCTCTTCTTAATTAGTCTGGCTAATGGTGTGTCAATCTGGTTTATCTTTTCAAAGAACCAGCTTTTGCTTTCATTTATTTTCTCTATAGTTCGCTTATTTTCTATTTCATTTATTTATGCTTGAATCTTTATTATTTCTTTTCTCCTTGCATTTTTTGTATTTTTTTGTTGTTCTTTTTCCAATTCCCTGAGGCATGATGTTAGGTTGTCCTTTTGCCACCTTTCCATCTTTTTCTTATGTGCACTAGTTGCTGTGAAATTCCCTCTTATGACTGCTTTTGCAATATCCCATAAATTATGGAAACTTGTGTACTCATTATCATTAGTTTCCATGAATCTTTTGATTTCCATTTTAATCTCTGCAGTAGTCATGAAGTCATTCAGAAATACATTATTTATTAGTGTAATGGCTATGTTGCTGGACTCCCATGTAGTAGACCGTGGTTCATGTCCCGGACCTGGTGGCTTAAAACTCACGGCGGGTGTGTGCGCCTGCATGCCCAAGATCCCGAGAGGAGAATGGAGGAGAAGGGATTGCAGCATGGCCATCCTCCTGGGAGGAGATTTCTCACTTTCTGTCTCTCTGTCTCTGTCTGTCTGGCGAGCGCACATGCCTTAGAGCAAAAAAAAAAAGAGAGAGAGAGAGAGAAATACGTTATTTAATTTCCATTTGTTTGTATATTTTCAAGGGCTTTTCCTGAGATTAATATCAAGTTTGATTCCATCATGGTCGGAGAAGATGCTGGATATAGTTTCTATGCCTTTGAATCTGTAAAGGCTGGTTTTGTGCCCTATCATGTGATCAGTCTTTGAGAAAGTACCATGAGGGGCTGAGAAAAATGTATATTTTGTGTTATTTGGGTGGAAAGTTCTATAGATGTCTGTCAAGTCCATCTGGTTTATGGTATCATCGAGGTTCTGAATCTCTTTGCTTATTTTTTGTCTTGTTGACCTGTCTAAAGGAGATAATGGGGTGTTGAGATCTCTGACAATTATAGTATTACAGTCTATCTCCCCTTTTAGATCTAGTAGTCTTTCCTTTACATATTTGGGTGCTCCTTAGTTCGGTGCATAGATATTTATAAGTGTTATATCTTCTTGGTGAATTAGCCCTTTTATTACTATATAATGCTCTTCTTTGATTTTTCTTACGGTTTTTGTCTTGAAGCCTGTTTTGTCTGAAATCAGTAATAGCGACTCCTGCTCTTTTTTGGTTTCCATTTGCATGGCATACCTTTTTCCAGCCCTTCACTTTTAGTCTATGTATGTCTTTATCCATGAGATGGGTTTCTTGTAGGCAACAGATGGAGGGTTTCTGATTTTTAATCCATTCAGCCAGTCTGTGTCTCTTGATCAGAGAATTTAATCCATTGACATTCAGTGTTATTATCAATATTTCCAAACTTGTCCCTTCCGTTAAGTTGGCCATATTCGTGGTTGTTTTTTGTTATCTTATTGTTGTCTGTCTGTCTTTAGTTTTCTTGGTATAGTACTCCTTTCAGAACTTCTTGAAGAGCTGGTTTGGAGTTGGTAAATTCTATCAGGTTTTGTTTATCTGAGAACATTTTTATTTTCTTTTCCCATATGAAGGATAATCTTGCCGGGTATAGTATTCTTGGTTGAAATTGTTTTTTTGGGTTTTGATTTTTGTTTTGGGGTTTTTTTGTTTTTTTTGGGTTTTTTTTTTTTGAGAGGTTTTTGCTATAGGGCGCATGCGCTCAGAAAGGCAGAAAGAGACGAAAGCGAGAAATTGTACCCCCCCACCCCACCCCAAGGGGGATGGTCGTACCGCAATCCCTTCTCCTCTATTCTCTTCTTGGGATCTTGGGCATGCACACATATGCGCCTGGCGTGAATTTAAGCCACCGGGTCCAGGACTCGAACTACAGTCGACTATGTGGGAGTCCAGCAACATGGCCATTATGCTAACTGCTGGTCCCGGTTGAAATTATTTTTTATTTAACTCTTCGAATATATTTCTCCGTTTTTTCCTTGCTTGTATTATTTCCGATGAGAGGTCTGGTGTTAGCCTGATGAGATAGCCTTTGTAAGTTACTTGATGTTTCTCTCTTGCCAGTTTTAGTATTCTTAATATCTTGTCTTTGTTGTTTTGGTCAATCTAGCTATAATGTGGGGCGGAGAGGGTCTTGGATTGATTCTACTTGGGTTTTTTTGTATTTCTTGGGTCTGGATGTTTGAGTGCCTCTCTAGACTTGGAAAGTTTTCTTCTAGGATTTTGTGGAATAGATTATCAAGGCCCTTATTAGTTTCTTCACCTTATATACAATTATTTGTATATTTGTGCGTTTCATGGTATCTAGTATTGTGTATTATCCTCAGTTTTCTTGGCTGTTTTCTCAGTATTTTGATCATTTTTTTCTAGGTGATTGGTTTTGTCTTCTACTTCCGAAATTCGATCTTCTGCATGGTCAAGCCTGCTTTTGATACTTTTGAGGGAGGTTTTAATTTCCTATATTGTAGCCTTCATGTCTTGACAGTTTGTTTGATTCTTTTTATGGTGCCCAACTCTTCTTTCATATTGTGAAAGTACTTCCTCATCTCTTGGAGCTCAATGTTTTTTTCTGTTGCATCTCATAGAATTTTGTTACCATAAATATTCTAAATTCTTGTTCTGGCATTTCAGTAATATGCTCTAAATTTTCCCTACTTGGAGACAGGTTACATTGTTCCCTTGATGGAAATGTGCTACTTGATTCTCTCATCCTTGAGGCTCTTCTTCGATTTTTAGTCACTTGGTAATGTATTCACTTCTGGTCAGTTTGTTGGAGAGGGATTCAGTGACTGTGAACTTATGTATTTCCCACACTGTGAAATAATTCTGTGCTGTTTTCTCCCTTCTACTAAGTACTCAAATGTGGGAATCACAGGTGGATATTTGCAATTGGATTTATGAAGGGGAATTTCACTTATTTTGCAGTCCCTACAGTGATGTGCAAAGAATTCTCCAAAACTCACAATGCTCAGATGAGTAGCTACTATGTCCCTAATCGTCTCTAGGCAGAGGCTAAAAGCTGAGAAGTAAAACAGAAAAGTAAGGTAAAGAAAAAAAAGGCAGGAAACAGCAAAAGGGAAAGAAGGCAAAGAAAAGAAGGAAAGTACTAGAAGACAATGAAAAAAAAAAGAAAAAAAAATCACTTCACAAAAAATGAAATTGGTATGAAAATGGAAACAGGCAAACTTGGAGGCAGATAGCAGATTTCTGTCCTAGGTTAGAAAAAAGACAGAGATTAACAAGAGAAAGGCCCAAGGTGGGTAGAAAGCTGTTTTTTGTTGGTTTTTTTTGTTTGTTTGTTTTGTTTTGTTTTGTTTTGTTTTTTCAGAAAGAAGAAAAAGGGACAGAGAACAGCAAGAGGGAGCAAAACATCTATCCTACCTGGCTGGTTCTGGGTCTGCCAGGGGTACACTGGCTGGGGGAGACTTCACAGCCGTGAAGCTGATTCTGTGTTTTCTTTCTTTATCTAAATGATACGACACAGCACATGAGGCACTCAGTAAACTTTAAGTTAGGAGCTGTGTCCCCAAATTGACTGCTCACAGAGACGTTTTCAACCTCAGACTGATCCCTGTCAGACTTTAAATTGTGAGATATCTCACATAAGGAAACCAAAACATCTTTCCTTAATGTTGGTTTGGAGAAGGTGAAATCTATTTCTCTTGTGTCCCATTTATGTAGATAGTTGGCTATTATTTTTGCTTTCTCTTTCCAGATTTTCCACAAAATGAACCTCAGATGAAGAATGGATTTAGCAGGAACACACAAAGACGACTTGAAAATCGAAAGCCACCATTGGAGCTGCCCCTTCATCCTTCATGGGAAGCAAGCAAGAGGCGGAAAGAGCAGCAGTCTAAAATTGCTGTGTTTCAGGGGAAAAAAATTACATTTGATGACTGACTAGTGCTTCTTTTTATGAGTTTTCCACCTAAAAATCATTTTCTTTTTCTTTTTTCCCTCACTATCTTGTTATTTAAACTTGTTTTTGAAGTCTCTTTGGAGGGGTCATAGGGTGGTTTTGCCTTTTATATTAAAAAAAAAAATCAGAGGGGTTTTTGCTATAGGGCACATGCGCTTGCTGGAGAGAAAGTAAGAAATCACCACCCAGGGGTGATGGCCACGCTGCAGTCTCTTCTCCTCCATTCACCTCTCAAGATCTTTAGCATGGACACACAGGTGCCCAGCATGAGTTTCAAACCTCCGGGTCTGGGACTCAAACTGCCATCAGCCATGTCAGAGTCCAGCAATGTAACCGTTCCACCATCTACTGGTCCCCAGGTTATTTTTACCTAAGCCTTTTATAAATTAAGTTCTTACTTAAAATGATTTTTTGATATGCCCCAGACTATATTTTCTATAAACAAAGTTTGGGATTGTAGAGATTTCGGATTATCTCACTTATTCTATCATGCATGGATTTTATTGGGTCAGCCCTGTTTTTCACCTTGAAGATAACTGTCAGGACATACTCAGGGCCAGCCTTGGAGGCACAGCGTCAGCACAGAGCTCTGCCATGCCGCACTTAGGCTGGAAGGCCCTGGGCTCACATCCCAAGGCCTCCCCATGCACATGGGTGCATGTGTGCCCAGGATCCCAGCCAGTTAAGTCTGTGCTGGAATCACAGCGTGCAAACCCTGTTCACAGTGCCCTCACTCTCTTTAAAGAAATTGACAAATGTTAAAATACATATATATATATATATTTAAAATAATGGAAAACTGTGAGAGATAATAGCTATTTAAAGTAGATCACCTTTTTTTTTTTTTTTTGAGAGGTTTTCGCTATAGGGTGCGGACAGACAGAGAGACATAGAGACAGAAAGTGAGACATTACCCCCCAGAGGGGATGGTCACGCCGCAGTCCCTTCTCCTCCATTCTCCTCTCAGGATCTTAGACACGCACACACACGCGCCCGGCGTGAATTTTAAGTCACCAGGTGAACCGCGGTCGACTACATGGGAGTCCAGCGACATAGCCATTACGCTAACTGCTGGTTCCCGAGATCACCCTTTTTTTAAGAGTTATTTTTGTTAGCAAAGCTAAAAGTAACCTATTGTGAGTAAATAGTAAAAGGAAAATATAAAAATAAATATTACTTTTTATTATGGTTTTAATTAGTCATGATCATGTACTTTTAGATTGTTCTAAATTTTCCAGGGCAAATTGTATTTTGGTTACCTTAGGCAAATTGTTTAAATGTAGCAACATAACCAGGAAATCAGTTTTACATTTTAGTGCATACAGTTCTATTACATCAGGAATGTGTAATATTTGATAATATCCTCTCAGAAAAACATCTTTTGAGACATCATGGATTGGATTTATAAGAACAACCCATAAGAAGTAGGCTTTGAAAAGCTTTTTTTTGGATGGCTGAGCTGAGAGTTTATGAAATGACTCGCAAAAGAAGGGAATGGTTGAGCATCCCTTATCCAAAATACTTGGGACCAGAAGTATTTCCAGTGAAAGGTTTTTTTGGATTTCAGGTTTCTTTTTTGGATTTTAGAATAATCACATTTACATCATCTAAACATAAAATTCAAGTGTCTCATGGTACTATGACATTAATTTTTTTCTCTGTATCCACAATTTTTGGCTCATAAATATTTGACCTTTTGTCTTTGGTCCCCAAATTAGCTCCAGATCAGCTTCAGTGAGCCCAAGGCACATCACAGAAACTCCAGTTGTCCTCTACCTCACCTTCGTTCTGTAAGGGACTGCCCCATGTCCAGCTGTGATAAGCATGTCTCACAGAAAGGAAAGGCCAAGTATTTAGACAGACAGGCCCACTGGGGTTCTCCACCCAGGCAGTTAGCATTTCATGCTGTCCGGTGAAGGCTCCATAAAGGCCCCCAGACAGGGCGTGGAGAGCTTCTGGATTGCCAAACACGTTCCTGGAGGGCGGTGTGCCCACAGGGGCATGGACACTGAGTGCCCCTGGCCACACGCCTTACCCTGTTCCTCTTTCCATCCATATCCTTCCGAATGCTTTAATAAAGGTAATGGTGTTTCCCAAGGTCTGTGAGCCGCAGTCGCATCTGGCAGGGTGGTTGGGAACCCCAACTAGGAGCCAGTTGGTAGAAATGTGAAGGCCTGGCCTTGCAACTAGTATCTAAAGTCAGGGGCAGTCTTGGGGACTGAGGCCTCAGTCTGGGATTGGTGGCATCAGGCAGACAGCATCAGAATTTGGATTAGAGGGTAGCACCAAGCAGAATTGCTCGGTAATGGGGAAAATCACACATGTTAGGATTGTAGAAGATCTCTATGTTGTGAGAGAAAAATGGAGAAATAGTGTGTTTTTCTGACTCATGGTTTTGTGTACACCTTAAACACATAGTCTAATCTTATACAAAATTTTCATATTTTGGCATTTTGATTACAGCTCACCACATGCATTCAGGAATTTTCCACTTCTGATCATGTCAGCACTCAAAAAAGTTTTATATTTGGGATCACTCTGGATTTCAGGTGTTCAGATTAGAATGCTCAGCCTGTATGTACTGTTAGTTAAAAAGAAAACATGACTAAAGTCCCTTGAGGGACAGCACTATTGCATAGTGGTTAAAGGAGCCGATTCCACATGGCTGACAGCAACTAACTTGCTATAGGCCACGTGCACTTGGAAGAGGGAGAGAGGGAAAGTGAGAAATCAGATCCCAGGAGAGCCAAGCCGCAATCCCTTTTCTAGTCTCTTTGCAAGACCTCGGGCACATACACAGGCGCCCAGCATGTGTTTCAGGCCACCAGGTCCAGGACTTGAACTACATAGTCAGCCATGCAGGATCCACCAGCCTTAAGCACTATGCCACCAACTGGCCCTGCCAACAGCAGTTCTAATTCCAGCCCTGTCTGCCTAGAAAGCATGTCTGGTTCCTGAGTGTGCCATACATCCTAAAAGGATGGAGAAGTAGAAGAGAAGGTTGAAGCATGACCACACCCCATTGGGTAATGCTTTTTCCCTCTCAGTTGCTGGCCCATGCACACCTCTGATCAAAAAAAAAAAAAAAAAAATTCTTCCTGTGTGTCAGTTGGCCACTCTAGGAGAAATGAAGGATCTTGGATAATGCTCCCTAAATTCCATGTTTCCTGCACATTCATGCTGTCCATGGCAGGGAAGAGTATCTGGTTAGCCTGAATTCACAAGCTTTCAAGGAGTTACTTCTGTTTTAAGAGCTTAATAATTTAGAACTGGGAAATGCAGGAAATTATGCAGAAAAAATATATTATGGGCTATTGAGTGCAAAATTGGTTGTACTTTTAAATTTCTTATGTTGACAGTTTCCAACTGACAAAAGTGGAAGAAATGTCTGGGCCTACCCTGCACTGCCAAGCCGGCTCACGACTTCTTAGCCCAGCTGGAAGGAGTTAGGCCTGTGTGCCTCAGATTTTGTCACATGGAAAGCACTGTTGGACTGTCCTGGGATGCAGTGAGGTAGCTTACAACCACAAGGGGCCCTTTTATTTTTTATAAGAATGATTTGATTTAACTTTATTACTAATTTGATCAGAGGAAGAGAGGGAAAGTGAGAAAGCAAACCGCCAGGTCCGGGACTCGTACTGCAGTGGTCCATATGGGAGTCCAGCATCTTTAGCCACCGTGCCACCTGCCAGCCCCAATTTGGGCCTTTGAGATGCAGTCATTGACCTAGTGCAGTGGTCCCCATGTTGCCCCCGGGGGCTTTTTTTTTTTTTTTTTTTTTTTTTTTTGGGGGTTTTTATTATGCAGACAGAAAGAGACATAGAGACAGAAAGCGAGAAATCACCCCCCAGGGGGGATGGTCACGCCGCAATCCCTTCTCCATTCTCCTCTCGGGATCTTGGGCACGCACGCACATGCACCTGGCGTAAGTTCTCAGCCACCGGGTCCAGGACGCGAACCGCGGTTGACTACGTGGGAGTCCAGCGACATAGCCCTTACGCTAACTGCTGGTTCCCACCCCCGGGGGCATTTTGGCCATGGCCTGGAAGTACTCCAGGTTGTCACAGGGTATGGGGTTGTGCAGTACAAGCGTAGAGGGTGAGTTGGGTGCTACATCTGGGAGTCACAGGCAGGGACACGCTGACTTCCTACATCCACAGTCTCCAGCCCGTGTTAGCAGTCCGAGGTTGAGAAATGGTCTGGTACGCACCGGGCCCCGCGGTGCAAGCATCGCAGGACACTCTGAGAATCTTCGTTGTGGCTGGTGGGGACTCAGCGACACCTGGGTCAGTTCCTGGGCTTGCTCCCCTTCCTGGTATTTTCTCTGGGCTTTGAGTATCGCACGGATGAATCCACCAAAGACTTGATGGGACCCTTGTGTAGCTCCTTGAGCACTTCCTCACATATTCTGATTACAGGGTGACTGTAGTAGCCAGCAGAACTCAGGCCGGTCGGTCCCTTTCACTCCACGAGCTCTCAGCCCTTCTACCCCAGCACCATGGTTCAGAAACTCAGGCCCTGAACTGCTGCACTTAAGCCCTCCACTCATTTTTCTCTGTGTTTTCCCGGCTGCCTGTTGTCCAGTGTCTGAAAGCCAGCTGTTCCAGATATTCTATCCGGTTTTCTAGTTGCTTAAATAGAGGGCAGGGCCAGGCTGAGGTGCAGTGGCTAACAATGGGATCCACGTGGGAGAGGTCACAGGTGTGCGCCTTCCACGCATCAACCTGGTACGCAAACCTTGTTCACTAGGAAAAGCATATTGTCTGGGCAGGCTGGAGCTGAGGATTGCAGCATGTAGACAGTCGGGGTGCCTGCCTGTGTCTCTGTCTCTTACTGAGGAAATAAATTTTAAAAAGTGAAAGAGCAAATTCAGTCCGTCCCTGCTGTTCCAGGGTAGTCAGAAATAGAAATACTGGGTCGTCAGGGAAGTCATGACGCGTCTGTGAGTAGAAAAACGTTGTTGCCTTGGCCAGAGCTGTCTCCGCTGTCCTTTGACGGTAAATCCTTATCTCGAACAGTGAGCAAGATGACTGCCCTTATCCATGATGTATATGCAGGTTTGCGCGACCCTGAAAACAGAAGTTAGTATCAGAATTGCTAGCCGGCCTCTGCCGAACAAGCCTACTAG